GTTGCTGCAGAGGTGCCAGGCCACTTCCAGAGCTCTGCCGTGGTGCCCTTTGTCACCAAACCCCCAACAGCCCTGGCAGACTCTCTTGTGTGCGTCCACAGGTCCTGTTTGTGCAAGTGTGTGTTTCTGGCCTAGTAGCATGTCATGTAATGATTTAATGTTAACCAGAATTTCCCGTCCAGAATTTGGTAATAGTCCTGGGGCGTTGCTTCAGCAGCTGTCTCCTGATTGGCTGTAATGGCTTTTTATGCCAAGTCGACTCATTAAAAGTCTCTGCTTTGTCACTGACAGACTGAGATTGTTACTTTAAGTGTCTGACAACATTACAAAAAGGATCCCCTCAGAGAAAATCCTATATGTGAAAGAGGAATATTTTTGTAACCAGAAACACAAACAGGCATTACACCTCTCTCTCTCTTCAGACTGTCAGACTCCATTCACAAAAACAGTCATCTTACAAGAGAGGACCCAGGGTTATACAGTCAAACAGTCCTTTAAAAAGGAAAACTTCCGACCTTCAGGTCTGAGAACATGTGATACTGACTGTTTGAGGAAAGAAGACACAGACAACATATCTCTTAAGCGATCAAGCGTACAAACAGCACAGTGTTTGTGAGATCAAGCAGAGATTTACATCTTTCTGTGTACGTTTTAGAAGACTTTACAAGACGGCTTCATAAACTCTGTTTACCTCTGTCGATGTCTCCCATCATGTGGGTCATTATCTCACCCATGTGCTGAGAATAATGGTGAGCAGGTTAGGCATGTCACAGCACTCTGTGAGGATGGTACAGGAGTAGGGGGGGACGGGACGGGACTTTTAGCTTTAAGCTAACGGGGTAAAACACCACAGAGGACACTGGAAAACATGTTGTTTTAATTTGTTGGTTAGATGGTTAGATCAGATGTTACATAAGTCCCAAACAAAACAAAAACTTATGAGAGAGATCTCCGGCCTTTTCTTCCCACTTTCATATTAACTTTCAAAGATTAGCCATGATTACTTGCTGCAAATGTGTGTGTGTGTTCCTGTTGTCCACACTTCCTCTCCGCTGAGGTGGAGGTCGGGCAGGCTGTGCATGAATGAGGGCGGCGGTGGTTGAGGGACGACCCAGTCTAATAGTGTGGGACCTCCTTGTCGATATCTTGTTGAAACTGAAACCACATTGTCCTCGTTGTTGTGATAGGTTCCCAAAGTGCATGTCAGAGGGATTATGTTGCATAGCTGCATGAAAGAGCAGGGCAAAAACACTGCTCGCTTGTTATGAAGGCCCGAGCATAAAATCACTATCACTGCAAATTAGCACAATGATTTCACTATTAATATTTCATTTGTTCTGTATGATGTCTGTGGTTCCAAAAGAAAGCCCTTAACCCGTTTACTTTCAATCTTTCCTTATAGAGTTAGGAGAAAAGTAAGAGAAACTTTATTTCATTCAAGATTTCTGCATTTTGTAATTCTGCAAAAATCCAAAAACATGCATTATAGGGTGGAAGTTGTCTTGCCCAGAAACCAGAACAACAAAACCAACTAGAGAGAGAGGGAGATATCAGATCTAACACATTCTGCACATGCCCACGTGCTTTGCCAAGAGAAGATCTGATGAATGATAATAACTCTGGGTTCACTGCTGCTGTGCAGGAGCTTTAGAATAAACCTTCTGCACTCTGCCTTTATAATTGAAGGCATCGTTAGCAACCTTGGCTTGAATTGAAAGCCTTGCTACAGTGGGTCTGTAATGTGACAGGTGTCAACCACAATAACAAGTCCACAGAGAATAATTGAAAACTCTGTAGTTCCCCTCAGGTCAAATCCTCATCCGGTCAGCTTCTCTCAGCTCATTGTTTCACTATCACGGTCTAATACCTCTGAAAATCTCTGAAATGAGTTTTTAGGAAGATGATGTGAAAGTTTCGATTAACCAACTCTTAACTGCCTGATGGCATGAAATAACAGACAGTAAGTAAAGACTATCTGATGCAACTCCGGAAAACATGAGTTTAGAAAGTATTTATGGTAGCGACCTTCTTCTTGCATTGTGTCTTTTGCTGGGTTTGGTCGGCATTTAGACACTAGAGGACTGACGGACTGAAAACTAGAAACACTAATCATTTTCTTTTTTTCTCTCTGCAGGATGAGGACTTTGTGAAAGTCCGCTGTGGAGCACAGAGGGAGCAGGAAAGGGGGGGCCGGTCACTCTGCATAGATGGAGCGGCTCCACTGGGTGCAGCATCGCTGTCGGCAGCTCCTGGCGGGAGACCCGGGCCGAGGCTGGTACTCTACCGCTGATGGTCTGCCCAGCAAGAGCTTCCTGGACACCCACAGCTCGCCACAGAGAGTCGGCGGGAAGCGGAGAACGGTGTTTGCCCGCCATGGACCCCGCCAACAGGAGTACGAAGCCGTGTCCAAAAACTACAAGGGCAATGCCATCAGAACTACGAAGTACAGCTTGTTGACGTTCATCCCCATGAACCTGTTCCAGCAGTTCACAGGTCAGATTTACACGTCTGTAGGCGACTTACAAAACACCAACTTGCTTGTTTACATCCAGGCAGTAGAGTTGGAGGAGCAGAACAAGTAACCGGAGCTACAGCACCGGCTAGTAGCAAGGTGGCTACATTACAGCTTAGACACAAAATTCAAGCAGCATTGTAGGCCTACATTAAAATGTTAACAATTCCTTTTAACCAACTAGTGATTCCCATGCCGACTAGCGAGGGACACAACTTTTTTACCACCCCTAGTGGAACCAACAAAACAGGCGAAGCACACTGGTTTGATAGCGCTTAGTTTCACTTCCACAGCATCTGATGAACGTTTGTGTCGTCTAAATACCAATCTGCAGCTCTGCTCTTTCCTTTTTTTTTTAGGGCTGCCAACCTCTACTTCTTGTTTCTGGCGTTGCTCAACTGGGTGCCAGTCGTGGAAGCCTTCCAGAAGGAGATCACCATGATTCCTCTGCTGGTGGTTCTCACGGTTATCGCCATCAAAGACGCCCTAGAAGACTACAGGCGCTACCTGTTCGACAAGAAGGTCAACAACAATGTAGTGCGAGTTTTCTGCAGGTGAGTCCGCCGAACTTGGTTGCTGTTGCTATTATGCACTTTTAATAATGACGTTGCAGCGTAACCATCTGGAATTCCTACTTGTATTAAAGGTTGTTGATTTGAGATGGGTAGTAAATAGCATGATTTCAACATTTTGCCATGTAGGGCGGCTACTGTATGGCTCAGTTGGTAGAGTAGGTTGTCTCTCATCTGGATGGTTGGGCGTTCGATCCCCAGCTCCTGCAGCCACATATGTCCTTGGCAAGACACTTAACCCCAAGTTGCTTTGTTGGCGGCGTATGAATGTGTGTGAATGGGTTAGTTAATACTGATGGTTACTGCAGCCTCCACTCACAGTGTGGATGGGTGGAATTTGTAGGTGTGACCTGCAGTAACAAAAAAGCGCTTTGAGTAGTCAGAAGACTAGGAAAGTGCTATACAAGCTCAAGTCTATTTACCAACTGATGGTGATAAAATCTATTAGCTAACATTACCTTTCTTGCTAGACAAACAATGAAACTCCACAAGCCTTATTTAAACATAGGCTGGATGCATTTGATTATTTTCAGGTGTCTCTTTTAAAAAGGTCATTTGTATCAAATTGTCTCTGAAAGTATGTAAGTTAAAGTATGTAAGCTGAAGATCATGCACACGTTTGTACACGCTAAAGACTGAGGCTACAGCTACATGTTCCTGACAAAAACCTGTTCTCACTAGTGGTGGGCGATATAACGATCTTAGATCGTGAAGGATTTTAACGTGCTGACGATCTGCCAAAGCAGAGACGGGCTAATGTGTTTATTCTATCAAGCTGCAGTTTATGCTCCGACACAGACACGCCGCGAATGATAATGATAATTTCAAATTGTGCATAAATATTGATCAAATCGAGGAAAAGACGTTTCTGGTACTAAAAAGGTTCTGGGTGGGAGACCTCCAGACCTCCTACAAAGATGTTTTTCAAATAGACTAAACTTGTCAGCACAGTTTTTGTGCATATAAAACATTATACAGGGAAATAAGTTTGGTTGAACTGGTCAGTAACTTATAAATTAGTCTTAAGATCACTATGAAAAAAAATAGTGATAAAATCGTGATCGTGATTTTGCGTGATATGATCTTTTTCCCATATCGCTCCCCACCTCTAGTTCTCACTGTCTTTGGGTTATAATGACTAACCTCTGTTTTGGTGTTACACCCAGGAGCTATTGTTCGACTATAAAGCCTTAATAGAATACAGGACAATTCAAACATAATGCTGCTCAGCTGTTTTTCGGCTTTTCTTTCTGTTCACTTTTGATGCTACCAAAGATGTTCATGAATAACATGTCTGGCAACTTGCAGCAGTTTTGAATGTTAGGGAACTCTGATCGCATTCAAGAGTAAAGAAAAACAAACACAAGTGAAGTGTGAGAACAGGCCCTTTTTAAAAAAAAAAAAAAACAACAACAACATTGTAACCATGAAAGAACAAGTATTTGATTCAGATAATATGGTTTCTCCCTTAATTAGTGAGCTAGTGGACGCTTTATATTTAAGCAGTCAGTCCTCTGCTCAGTCTCTCAGCCTCGCCTTTCCCAGCATACAACACTAACGATCACACGTATCCTTCCTCTGAAATGGATCACAAGCCCAGATTCTAAGATTTCTAAAAACATCACACAATTACAACCCAACCCTAAGCCAGTGTTTGAGATGGGATTTTCAGTGACGTAGTGAATAACTGATGACAGGACATAAAGAAAAGGAGAAAGAGACAGACAACAAGTTAAGGTGTTGGCACTTCAGAGCATTTTAAACCTCCCTCTGCACCTCAACACCTGCTGCTGCTGCTCTTTCACCCTCCCCCTTCATTTGATTCCCCAATCAGTCTTCTGAGGTGGTTGTAAAATTTGAACTTTGAGTTTGTTTACACAGTCAGTCGCTTATAGAGGAGGGGCAAAGGAGGCATTCAAAGTCTGTCGGTCTGTCAGATGAAGTGACAGCATGAGTGTGGACGTAAATTTATAACAAGGTTCACAGTTGTAGGTTAAATACGGCTTCAGGAGGTAGAAATTATCAAGTGGAGCAGTGGAGCGGACTCATGTATAGCCTGGAACGTCTATCTCGTCTTCATTTGACCCGGAGACGTCTGCAGAAAAGGAGGACTGTGGTCCCTTCGTCCACTGAAGATGAGACGCTAAGAGAAGTCCTGAGGTCGTATAAAAACAACAAAATCCGAACCTCAAAGTACTCTCTCCTCTCCTTCCTGCCCAAGAATCTGTTTGAGCAGCTTCACCGATTCGCTAACATCTACTTCATCTTCCTGGCTGCGCTAAACTTTGTCCCCGTGGTGGAGGCCTTCCAGCCGGAGATCGCTCTGATTCCCATCATACTGGTGTTGTCGGTGACGGCCATCAAGGACATCTGGGAAGACTTTCGCAGGTTTAAGTTGGATAGTTTGATCAACAGGCTTCACTCCCATGTTTACAGCAGGTATGCTAAAAGTTGCTTTCAGTCTGTCTGGTGTTCCAGCAAACTAAATCTATGATGTCCTGTTCTCTTCCATCATTTTTTTTTTCTTTAAGTGACAAGAAGAGAAGTTATGATCACCAGTCTGCTCCTGTACATTTGTACAGTCTAAGAATTCTCTCAGTTCTGTCAGTCATTGCCTCAAAGTTAAGGTGTGCAGGTCTGCTGGAAGTGGTTGTAATAATTAACCACAAATTGTATTCACACTCACTCATAGCTGTCATTCAAAGCGGGTTTCTCTACGGAGATTGGAATGTAAACTGTTAGCAGGTAAACACGACCTGGAGCTCTCATTGTCACAACATTCAGAACACATGGACAGTACAGAGTCGTTCTGAGGCCAGCTGCTGCCTCCATTGTAAAAGCCTTATTAAAGGTAATGAGACTGTTTTATTACTTTGATCAGGTAATATTAATTTATCTCCTGCAGCTGTATGTTTGTTTCCTTTTAAGCCATAAAATATGAGGTGAGCGATGAAGGTCCATCATGGTATATGAGTGGGAAATATTGGTCGTCCAGCTGCTTTTTATGACTTTTGTTTTTCTTGTAGCCACTACAGGAAATTATGGATTTTTTTTTTTTATAACAAGAATCAACACAATAGACATTAACGTGGGACTATCTATGTCACTCTTTTACCACCATACAGCTCTAGCCAAAGCGGCAACTTCCACTGTTGAAAAATGAATCAAATGTGAGAGTGCAAAATCCTGCAGTTTGTCGAGTGTCCACTAGAGGCTGGCTGCAGAAGCACAGGAAGTCACATCCACACCCATTCAAAAAAGCCTGTTTTTACAGCAGAAATGAACATGTTTACAGCCTGGTACAAAAAACAAAATAGTTCTGATTAGCTCATGTCCTCGATCTGTGAATTTTTTGATAACTGATCCATTTTGAGTTTATGAAGGACAAGAGTTGTTCACATAAAGGCCAGTAGCTGACCTGACTGACAGACTGGCCATGTAACGATATGTCAAGAGGCTTAAAACCTGTTGTTAGGTTGACTGAAAGTTAGGCTAAGACAACATTTCCAGCATGGCGACCACCATCGATGGGACTCCAAACACCCCTGCAGGAACAGATGGGTTACGTCACTCAGGCTTCGTCCATCAATATTTACAGTATAGCCATATATCAGGTGTTGGCCTCATTGTGTAATGAGTTCTCCAAATTGTTGGCCTTTCACAAAAGGACAAAGCCAGTTAAACATTTCAAACTCAGAACTATGTGAAGCGTAGTGCCCTCCTTTGTTGTGATCGCCAACAAACTTCTGCTTGTACTCGTTAACCTAAACAAGCAGAAGCAGCAGCATGCTGTACAGAAAGCTGTGGAGTGAGGGTGTTTGCTTTGTTTATGGTACAAACTGTTTTCCATGTTCCCCTCCAGCATGCCCCACATGGTGAGTTATAAACATGTAGCTGTGTCGTCAGGCTCATAGAACAGGCAGGACTCTTATTTACAATCACTGTTGTTCTTTGATACATGATTGATTCCCCAGTTGTAACAATGTACTATTAATCAAATAAGAAGAGATATCCTCTGAATATCGGCATTTCATCCATACTTACTCTTTTAAGCCATTCTTGATGAAGAAAAAATGTGCAACAATTAAAAGTACTGTTCAGTGATGGCAATAATGGTTGGTAAAATAAACCAGGCTCCATCCTCAGCCCAAGACTGTGGTACTGTGAGATGTTGAGAACATTTTGGGACAGACGTTTGCGTTGGTTGGGACGACCTTGGTGTATTTGAACAACTTCCTGGATTCGCCCCTGGCTGGGACTATGACCGCTATGAATTCACATCTGTTTTTTTTTTATTGAGAGGGTTTGCACTGTGCATTCTAACGTTATTGTCTTAAGAAATATAACCCTTGGTCTATAGATAAACATTACCATCCTAAAAACTTGTTTCACATGTACCCTAATACTGACCATGACTCCATCATTTTCCTCAGACGTTTCAAATTCTTCTGTCTCTCTTCTCCATCTTCTCATCTCCAACTCACAGTAAGCAAAAGGCGTACATTCAGCGATGCTGGAAGGATGTTCATGTGGGCGACTTTGTCCGTCTGTCCTCCAATGAAATCATCCCGGCTGACATGCTGCTGCTGTACTCCTCCGATCCACGAGGGGTTTGTTACATCGAGACCTCCAACCTGGACGGAGAGACCAACCTGAAACAGAGACAGGTGGTGTCAGACCTCCCTCTCCAGGTGAGACACGAGGAGGATTCAAAGGGTTTAGGATCTTTCTTTTCTGCAATGTGTTGCCCAAAAAGCCAAACTGCATCAATTGTGTGTGCATGCGTGCATGTGTGTGTGTGTTCCAGGGAGCAGACTTGACTCTTGACAACTTCAAAAGTCGAATCGAGTGTGAGAATCCAAACAATGACCTCAACAAGTTCAGAGGTTACATGTGAGTTTTTTTTCATCCTCCAGACATCCAACACATGTTTCTTCATGAAATCAATAGATTGGATCAATATTATCCTCTTAGTTCAGTTCTTCACTAGCTTTTTTAATTGGGACTAAGTTTAGGTTTTTGTTTCACTGGTTTGAGTTTTTTTCACTTGATTGGGAAATCTTGATTGTCTCAATTTGGTTTTCAACAGAAGTCATTTTATGCAATTCACATCATTAAAAAAATAACATTTTTAAAGCTTTTATTTTATTTTTGTAAAGAAATGAACATTAAGATATTGCATAATCCATTCATGATACATTTGAAATGAAGTCATGACACACAGCAGCAAAAATCACTGAAATCATTTATTGAGACACTCCGTCACCATGCACTGGGTCAAATATTTAAAAGTCATGTAACTTCTTACATGAAGATATTTCAAACTAACCCTAACATGGTGTTGCTAGAAGATAAGATCATAACTAAACTAAACCAAAAGCTGACTCTCTAAGGGTTCCTGCACTTTGATAACAGAGCAGCTGAACATCAAACACTCTTTTTTTTTAGATTTATTTTTAGGCTTTTTGGACCTTTTTATTGGAGGGACAACACAGGGGATAGAGCCAGAAATCAGGGCGAGAGAGAGAGAGATGACATATGGGAAATGAGCCACAGGTCAGATTTGAACACGCCCGCCAACTTGGAGGACTACAGCCTCTGCGTACGGGGTCACACACACTAACCAATACGCTACCAACACTTATTCATTGTCTTCTTACATGTCAGTTTGTAAAACTAGGGTCCTGTTGTGCAGCTGACATTCATGATCATGTCGTTCCACAGGGAGCACCCCAGTGGGGTTCGTGTGGGCCTCCACAACAGCAACCTGCTGCTGAGGAGCTGCACCATCCGCAACACAGAGACGGTGGTGGGCATCGTGGTCTACGCTGGTAAGAGTGAAACCTACAAAACATCAGACATCCGTCTCTCAGGTCGTGTTGAACTTAACTTTGGCATCTTTACGTTGACTTTATATGACACTAAGCATCAGGTTGTTTTCCTCTTTAATGCAGCTCATATGGGCCTCTATGTGAGGCTCACAGTCTTACTCAGGATTAGCACTTACTCGCTCTAAACAACCAGAGATCCAGGGAAAGAGTTTCCTGTTCTGTTTATGAAGTTTGTGGTGTAAAAAACAACGTTGGTGTGTCTTTAAGAAGATCATGTTTTCAAGTCTGCTGACCACTTCTTCTTGCAGTATAAAGGTTTGTATTATGTAACTGAGCATGTGTGTGATCTGTTCCCCCTCCCGCTGTGGGACTCAGGTCATGAGACGAAAGCCATGATGAACAACAGCGGGCCGCGCTACAAACGCAGCCAGCTGGAGAAGCGTCTGAACACAGACATCCTGTGGTGCGTGCTGCTGCTCGTGGTCATGTGTCTGACTGCTGCTGTGGGTGAGGACCAACTCTGAAGCTCACTGCACAACACCGATATGAACAAATAGTCGAGTTAGGATAGTAAAAGGACTGAGAGACTACTGGAGTGTGTTTTTATTTTATGTTAACTGTTTATGTAAACAGCTCCAGACGCAACAGTAGTCACAAGTTTGCTTTTAAATGAAGATTATAAATTTAGATTATCCAATGCCAAACCTCACTGAATCAGAAATAAGAAATGTGGCTGTGAATTCAATGCAGTACAAACATCGAGGCTCTTTCCTTTAAATTGATTCTATGACGCCTACCGTACATTTGAGAAATGATCCAATATTCAACACAAAACAAAGAAATGCTCCTTAAACGTCTACATCCGTAAATCAAGCTCATGTCCAGCTTTAATCTCAAGTTTCTCCGAGTACTGATGAGTGGTTCTGGGGACTTGTTTTTTCAGGTCATGGTCTGTGGCTGCAGAACCTCAAAGATCCGATCTTTCAGGTCGATGGACAGACGTCTCCGGCTCTGGCCGGGTTCTACGTCTTCTGGACCATGATCATTGTGCTTCAGGTAAACTGATAACCGTCCTCTTAATGAAATCACTCTAGTTTTATGGTAATCTTAATATTTACTGTAGATCCATTTTCTTAAATAGTCATTTTTCTTATCTTCTTTTTCTTAATTTCAGAATAAAATCAGAACAATTTATGTTTTATTTGTAAGGTTGATTGTTCCCTGAATTTCAATAGTTTATCGTGATTAATCACATTTTTAATATATTGCATTTCAATACTGTCATTTATATGCTTTTACTTTTAGTCTCAAGCTAAGGGTACTTTACTTCCTGTTTGGAAACAAAGCTGTTTTATTTTGGAATAATTGATTGAACTTCTTATGAAGAGTAAACAAAAACAGCCAAATGGAAAGGTACAAAAGTGTTAGGATTTGCTTCATAACTTGTATATAAAAACAGACGTATACCTTTTATCTGTAGTATCACCTCGTGCATGTTTTAAACCGTGCGTTAATGAATGTGTGGTACAGCAGGTGTAATGACTTTGTGTGTCCTGCAGGTGCTGATCCCCATCTCTCTGTACGTGTCCATTGAGATCGTTAAACTGGGTCAGATCTACTTCATCCACAACGACCTGGCTCTGTACAACGAGCAGCTGGACTCCAGGATCCAGTGCCGGGCCCTGAACATCACGGAGGACCTGGGTCGGATCCAGTACTTGTTCTCTGATAAGACGGGAACTCTGACGGAGAACAAGATGGTGTTCCGCCGCTGCAGCATCTACGGGGTCGAATACCCTCATGAGGAGAACGGTGAGGGGATAAAAGAGGATGGCCTTTCTCATCGTTGGGGTCTTGTAGACAGATTAGAAACACATATTGGTGTTGGATGTGAATCGTCTGTTTCTGTGTGTCAGCTCGGAGGCTGGAGGTGTACGAGACGGAGAAGAACGAGGCGGCCGGTCACTCGGTGACCCTGAAGTCTGGCTGCAGCAGGAAATCTCTGAGCTGTCGCTCTCTGAGCTGTAACCGCAGCTCCGTGTCTCTGCACACGCTCACCAACGAGGTGGACGAGGAGGAAGACCAACTGACCAACGACCTCCAGTGCAGAACCAGTGCCTTCTGCAGCCGCGTGGTCAGAATGACACACCAACACTACAGACACATTATTATGGTGTATAGGCCACCGGCGCCCCTTCAGCCATGATGTTTACACTCCTTCTTCTTCTTCTTGTGTGTTTCTGTGTTCAGGCGAGGGAGGTGGTACCGGACCCTGAGCTGGTGAAGAAGCTGAACTGGCTCTGCTCTCCTGTGCTGTCTCTCAGGGACGGCTCCTCAGGGACTCCATCCAGCCTGGAGCTCACCTACATCACAGACTTCTTCCTAGCTCTGGCCATGTGTAACAGCGTGGTGGTGTCCTCACCCAGCCAGCCTCGACATGTGGTGAGAACCGGGCGTCCTGATTGGCCGTTGCTTAGTTCGTTCGTTCGTCTGCTTTGTGTTGTAGTGATGGTTAGTTTCATCAAGGTAATAACTGAGGCCGAGAACATCTCAGAGCAGACTAGGATCTTTACGGGTAAACCTTCAGGTCCTTTAGGTTTTTTCTGCCTGGTTGAGGACTTCAGCAGTCAGTGCGAACACATCACAAACCCATTAACTAAAGTAGAAGTAGATTTATAAGGAGGGGGAAGACATACTGCTTATAATCAAAGTGTAGTCAAACCTCTTCCATTTTTACTCAGCTTTTGTCCTTACAAAAAAACCTCACCCTGATTTCCTTCTCCCCCCCCCCTGCAGGTTCCTGAAGCACGAACGCCTCTGAAGTCTCTGGAGGAAATCAAGCTGATGTTCCAGCGCTTCAGCTTCTCTCCTTTCTCCACCTTCTCCCCTCCACAGATCAGAGGCAGCCCCCACAGCTTCACCAGCAGGCTTTTCACCCGCGGGAAGAACGGCTCCTTCACCCTCCCTGCGACCCCCGAGAGCGCCGTCGAGAGCCCAGAAAAGCAGCAGGAGACCTCCAACCTGTGGACCGACCTGGATCTATCCTCCGGGGTCGACAGAGAAGACGCCGCACAGGTGGAGGAGAGGGAGGATGACATCACTAGCCCTGATGGGAGGGACCCGAGCCGAGACATGGACTCTGATGACGAGCTGCTGTACGAGGCGGAGAGTCCAGACGAGGCGGCTCTGGTCCACGCGGCGCAGGCGTACCACTGCACCCTAAGGGGCCGCTCTGCAGAGAACCTGCTCGTGGATCTGCCGGGAATCGGCTCTCTGGCGGTCCAGCTGCTCCACATCCTGCCGTTTGACGCCAACAGGAAGAGGATGTCTGTGGTGATCCGCCACCCGCTCACAGGACAGGTGGTGGTCTACACAAAGGGGGCGGACTCGGTCATCATGGACCTGACGGAGATGCCCAAAGGTGATCTACTAAAGGAATACTAAAGAAAAAGTTATAGTCTTGACTGAAGATTCATTTTTCTCCTGTCGACATATCGTGACGATGCTTCTTTGTGTTGTGTTCAGGTGCAGAGCGGGCTCAGGAAATCTACGGTCACATCAGAGAACAAACCCAGAAACACTTAGACAGCTACGCCCGAGACGGCCTGCGCACGCTCTGCATCGCTAAGAAGGTCAGCGTTATGAAATACTCACATTTAAACCAGTCTACACATTTGATAACGGAACATAAAAAATAAATAATAAAAAGACAGTTGATGCCTGAAGAGATGTTCTCCTTGAGATGTAATGTCCATATAGAAATGTCTAATAGAAAATCTCTCGATGATACCAGCATCCTCCTCCCAGTAAATGTAGCTCATCCCTTCACTTCCCCAAAGATAACAGATCAAATGTTTTATTAACTCCATCTACTGAACCACTTCTTTGTCCTTTTTTTTTTTGCAAGCAGCAAAAAGTATTTTATACCAATGAGAGTTTTGTTTAATAATGAAATCCTCTCATTTTACCCATTTAGACTTTTTTTCATGGAGATGCCCCTGCTTTTCTTATCAATATAGTCGTAGCAATATTTCCTCTACAGTTCATTTGGAGGCTGGTCCGCCACCCCAACGCAACCTCAAACCACTCGAAAAGAAGGGCACAAAATACGTGTGCACTCGTTCTGTTTCAACAGAGGATGAACATCTTTGAAGCCTTTTTCTGTCCTGAGAAATGTCTCTGCTATGCTAGCGTGTTCCTGCAGAGGGCTAGTTACCGTTGACATAATCATAGTGACTGCCAAATGTCCTTTAAGGTTTATCTCAGTGCCAGGATATGAATTTTAGCTGAGTTTCTTACCAAGAAGCTTCAGGACCACCACCCTTAGAAGAAAAAACTAGGAGAAACCATGCATGTGTGTGTGATGTGTAATGTGATTTGTTTTTATGTATCAGGTTCTGGAGGAGGAGGAGTACGAGGTGTGGCTGAAGAGACAGCTGCTGGCAGAGAGCAGCATCGAAACAGAGAGGAGCTGCTGCTGGAGTCGGCTCAGAGGCTGGAGACCGACCTCACGCTGCTGGGTAAAGAGAACTCGCTCGCACACACAAAGCACTCCTGCATCACGGCAGCATGTCAACGTGTGTCTCTTTCTGTGTGTGTGTGTGTTTAAGGTACCACGGGGATTCTGGACCGACTGCAGGAGGAGGTCCCGGAGACCATCGAGGCTCTTCAGAGGGCCGGGATCAAAGTCTGGGTCCTCACAGGGGACAAGAAGGAGACGGCCATCAACATCGCCTACGCCTGCAAACTCCTCCGCCCCAACGACCAGCTGCTGACCGCCAGCTGTGGAAGCAAGGTCAGTGCACCTGTTTATGTTTATCTCATATGTTTATGCAGATTGTTACATTTTTCATTACTGCACTCATTCTGCACGGAGGGCCTGATTGACAAAAGAATTGCATCGCTTCTGCACCTGCTCAACCTGTGTGTGACACTATCTAATTCACAAAGCACACACAAAGGGTTTAGTGCACCTCTAAGTGCTGCAGAGCCAAAAGCACCTCTGGAGAACTGACTTCATGGATTTCCTCTCCATCAGGATGCGTGTGCGGCTCTACTACAGGAGCTCAGACTGGAAGTGCAGTGCGGTGAAGTCGGCGCGACTGAAGCGGCAGAAGCAGGGAATCATGAGAGTTCCTCGTCGGACAGCGGGACAGGTTTCGTCCTGGTTACAGACGGCCATACGCTGGACTGGGCCCTGCAGGAGGAGCTGAAGAGCGACTTCGTGGAGCTGAGCTGCAGGTGTAAGGCGGTGATCTGCTGCAGGTCCACGCCGCTGCAGAAGAGCCAGGTGGTACAGCTGGTCCGCGACCAGCTGGGCGTCATGACCCTGGCTGTGGGTGAGGACTCAGGACTTTTTGATACAGAATATAAAAAAAAAAAAAGAAAGATCTTTAGAAACTTTGTTTTGATTTCTACAAGAACATTATCCCAACATATTTTCTGAAACTGTTGCTGCAGAAACCCGGACACATTATCAGGTTGTGTTCCCTCCCTGGTGATCTTCATTTTTTAGTTTGGATCGTCCTGTTTTAAAATGATTTAAAATAAAAACCATAATGGCTGGAGCATAATCTTAAAACGTACATAACCTTCATGATCCCTAGATTTTAGGGATAAGAATTTTAATGTGCTCCAAACATCACAAAATGCAAAAAAAAAAAAACAAACATAAAAAGCACTTTACTATCGCAAATGAAACTATCAAAACACCTTTTGCAGTCTGCACAGAAAAATGTGCACATCTCATGCACTATAAAACATGTCTGTTTGTCATCTGTAGTTACAGATTTTTAGTTCATGTTCATGCACATTCAGTATTGTTACACACAACATGTAGGTGTATGTGTTACCTAAACATGGAGGACAATTAGAAAATCTGCTTTGTTTTTGTTCCTGCAGGAGATGGAGCGAATGATGTGAGCATGATCCAGGTGGCTGACGTGGGCATCGGGATATCTGGTCAGGAGGGGATGCAGGTAATGGAAACTATATTCACCCTGACAGAACACCCTCATAGTTCTGTTCAGCTGCCACAATAGAATGAAAGACCATTTTGTGGGCTCTAAATAATTACATTTTTTTTAAATTATCAATACTTATTTATTCCCTGTGCACATGCCTAAAATATTTATCCTTGATTTTGAAAATGTTCCCCTCTGTTCATCGCCCCTCAGGCTGTGATGTCCAGCGACTTTGCCATCTCCAGATTCAAGCACCTCAGTAAGCTGCTGCTGGTCCACGGCCGCTGGTGTTACTCTCGTCTGGCAAACATGATCCTCTACTTCATCTACAAGAATGTGGTGAGAAGTCCAAAATGTCTCTTTAAAAAAGCCTGACTGATAGTTCATTGGAGTGCAAAAGACAATCAACAAATCAGTAGAGAAACACGTGCATTCAGTCGTCAAATGATCCTTCATCCTGGTTTTTTAAATCTTCCAAGCCGACTAAATGTTCAAGGTGACTCGGGAACTCAGACCAAGATGGCGGAGCAAACACATGGAAAGCACACACACCAAAGACAGAGCGAGTTCCTGAAAGGACATTAAGAGTTCACACTGGTGTCTTTGTGTGTGTGTGTGGTTGCAGATGTATGTGAACCTGCTGTTCTGGTATCAGTTCTTCTGCGGCTTCTCGGGGAGCGTCATGACAAACTCGTGGGTGCTCATCTTCTTCAACCTACTCTTCACCTCCGTTCCTCCCATCATCTACGGCATCCTGGACAGAGACACACCTGCCGACTCTCTGATGGAGCTGCCCGAGCTCTACCAGGACACACAGTCCTCTAAGGTAACCGCACACACACACACACAAGACACACACACAAATCAGCTGTTTAAAACTGCTGCTGCTGGGTTGTCGTAAATTAACTGTACTGGACAAAAACAAGCAGTGTTGCTGATGACACCATGTTTAAAAAGACTAACGGATGAGTCCGATCCACCTGCAGGTTTATGTTCCCTCCATGTTCTGGATCACAGTCCTGGATGCTTTTTATCAAAGCCTCGTCTGCTTCTTTGTGCCTTATTTTGTAAGTACACTGCGTTAAGTAGTTTCTGTTGTATCAGCAGTTCTTTCATTTTCTGTTTTTGTTCTGTTTTTTTGTTTATTTTCACTTCATTGGTCTTAAATTTAGCTCTTTTTTCTCAGGCCTTTGCAGGATCAGACGTGGGGGATCTGACCTTAGGGTCTCCGATCAACGCCTCGGCGCTCCTCATCGTCCTGCTGCACCAAGTTATCGAGAGTCACACTCTGGTCAGACACACAGCTATTAAAGATCACAGTTTTTTTTATCTGGATTGTAGCTCCTTTGTAGTTTGCAGCCTGTGTGTTCATGTCATGCGGTTTAATCCCTCCGTGCTGTCTTGCAGACGTGGATCCACATGCTGGTGCTGGTGTTCAGTGCTGGGTTCTACTTTGGCTTCGTGATATTCTTCAGTTTGATCTGTGTGACTTGCAGTCCCCCCACCAACCCTCTGGGGGTGGAGACACTCCAGATGTCCCAGCCTCATTTCTACATCGTGTGTGCTCTCACTACTGTGACGGCTCTGTTACCCAGGTACACACACACACACACACACACACACACACACACACACACACACACACACACACACACACACACACACACACTAATATGCTGTGGTAAATGAAACAGCAATAATTATAAACACAAACACACTGAGTCTGACTCTAGTCTAGAGAGCAGCTGTTTTATGTTTTCTTAATTACAACATCTTTCTTCTTTACCTTCAGCATCCAAAAGTCTAACATGACCTTTCTCTTATTCTTATACTTTTGATCAAGATTAAAGGTTTGCTATTTTCAGATATGAACCCTCATCCTGTGGTGGCTGGGAAGTGCAAAACAAAATTACAAAGTGTGAAACACTTCTACAAAGCTTGAGACAAATTTAGATTTTGAAAAACATTTTAAATTTTATAAAACAAAATAAAAAATAAGAATAAAAACTTTTACCAAGGACAAATCAAGATGTGACTTTTACAAGTTGCAGAACACTTTTACTATTCCCAAAACAAATTAACAAACGACAGAATCTTGACTGAAAGGGAATGTACCCAAATGCAGGAAGTGACCCAGAAGTGCGTATCTGGTCCTTCAGTCTCATCAGTGTCCTTTAAAAGTTTGAGAGACCGTCAACACAAAAAGCAAAACTGACTAATCTGGCTCAAATGAGTTCCACATAATGGGCAAAAAATCTTTCTGTCACCACGAACTATCTTATGTGCAGCATTATAACAAGCAGGTAAAAAATGACTAGCTGTAGGTTTTTTTTTTTTTTCTTTAACCACTGTTTTCCTGTTGGGTGTTAAAAGTACGATCATTCCCATCATCACTCTGCGATCGTTGATGTCCTTTCAAGTCAACTATTGGCTGATCTGTGATCATGTTTCTAAATCTCTGTATCGTGCGTGATCTCCTCTGCAGGCTGTTGTTTCGAGTTCTACACAACACCTTCCACTCCTCTGCCGCTCTGAAATCAACTCAGACGGACAAAGTGAATTCAGAGAAGTACCACAGGAGGATGCAGCGGTGGAACAGGAAACACCCCTCGGCCAAAAGAGTGCCAGTATGTGTGGATAACCCCGACCTGGAGCCAAACGCAGCCTCGGTTGTTTCCTGACCTCCACCAGCACACAAACACATACAGACTCACAAACAGAGCTGCGTCCCTGCTGGTCTCGTCACTGTGGGATGTGATATTTATTTCCTCTGCTGAAGCACTGATCGTTTTACAACAAGAACGCTGTGTGAGTCCGATCTGCTTTAATGAAGAACACGTTTCAAACCTCACTCAGCCTGCATGCGAACAGTAGCTGTCAAACACATTATTCAGAGTCACACTGTTGTGACAGAGGATATAAAATCATCCGCTTATTCAGCTTGTTGCATGAATGAAAGAGAGCGGCATCTACCGGCCTTCAGTTTGTTCTTTCTTGAACACTGTGAACCAATGAGACTCGATGTAGAATGAAATCTGTTGATTCACAATTAAAGCTTTGTCCACACTGTAGGTTAAAGTGACCTAAAAAGCACTAAAAAGGTAACCGCAAAAATCAGAACCTTGGTTCTTCTGCTCCCTGGGTTAGGGGTTAGGGTTATCATAGTTCCCTTTTCTTTTTGCCAAATAGACTCCTGCGTGTACACTAGTTCATGTTCATTAGTTTATTATCAGAATTCCACAGGTGTAATATAATGATGTTCTTAAATGGCAGGGACAGATAACTCAATCTCACCTCTGACTTTAAATTGAGTGTTAAAGCTTTTACAACATTAACATATCACATTTACAAAGATAATCTATAAAAAAAAATAATACACCACATGCCAAGCCAATGATAAGTAATGTTTTGAACTTCCTGTCTCCTATGAAGAGCTTTTATCTTTCCCCCGGAAAAACAGTGAATTCATTAAAGGTCACATATTATTCAAAATACTCTTCACCATGTTTTTCTGACACTAACATGTGTCCCTAGTCTGTCTTCAAACCCCCCCCAATGATGAGAAAAGTCCATCCTCTCCGTCTTTTGCCTGCTCCACTGTTCAGAAAATGTGTACTCAAACAGGCCGTTTGGAGAGTTTGCCTTCATGACATCACAAAGGGCAGTAACCCCTCCCCCAGGTGGGTGACACTCCCACAGCTAGGTGTTTGTTCTGCCCTCTGAGTCTGCCTTCTCACTGTAAACAATAGGACATGGAGCGAGAAAGCCAGAGACAACCAAGCCCTTCCAGAGAGGGGGCGTGGTCAGACACAGCTCATTTACTTATTTAAAGGTACAGACACAGAAACAGCCTGTTCTGAGCAGGGCTGAAATAGAGGGGTTTATAGACATGATCAAATACAGGATCAGAGTGGATTTAGAACAAGAAACTTCACACACATGTTTTGGGGAGCGCTGAGAATTATTTAAACTGGTTGAAAAGGAGGATAATATGTGACCTTTAAACTGACAGAGATTACCCTGAAGCCTAAACTTAACACAACATTTCTTTCAGTTTGTGCATCCCTGAGAGAGATGTCTCTGATACAGGAATTATAAAGAAAATGTTGAATACCATAACATTGTCAGAAATTTCAGATGATATGCAGCTTGTGAAAACTGTTCCAATATTTACCTTAATAACTACTGGAGCAAGAATCTGCACAATGTGTTCCCACAATCATGTTTCCCATCAGAGTGAAAAGATGAAGAACCTGCTGCTTGTCTCTTAAAGGGGCGGGTCATCAGATAGTGGCTCTGCTGGCACGCTCTGGAGACGGACTGCAGTGCTCACTGTTGAAACAGGAGCATTGACTAGAGTGGCAGTGAACAGCAGCGTAAAGCGCAACGATGATGAGTATGTGGAAATTGGCAGTTAGATTTTAAAAATGCTGCTCGACTGAATCCAAAAAAACAAAGCTTACAGTGTGGATGAAGCCAAACAGGTTTCCTTGAAGCAGAGAGGGCTTTTTCTCCCAACACAACACTTATTTGTACATGATCAGTAAGCAATAATCTGAATATTTATAAAGAGCCACAGCAGTACCTGTAGCTCTGCTGAGTCAGGATCATCCTGGTCTCATTAGCTCCATGTTTCCACTGTTTATGAGCCTTTATCACTGACATGTTTTTAATGTGTGTTGATGCTCGCTGTGTTTACAGTCCTCTGAGCTGAGGACAGTGTATGAACACAGAACTAAAACAGCCGCCTGTTTTTGTTTACCTGATCAGCTGTTTTGCTCAGACTACGTCAGCTGCTGGTGGACGAACGATTTAATCGCTGAGTCATACTGACTCCTTTTTCATCTGTTTTATTTATTTGCTGTAATCGACATTTTAAAAAGGCTGTTTACATCTGTGCATGAGGGATGTGACATGAGAGGCTGAATGTGAGCTGTTTGTAATGTCCGCCTCTTTAATGAACACCTGTACATTAAACTGACCGATCACATGAACATGCACCTGAAGCCTTAAAGCAATACTCCAGATGTTCACTGTCAGGACAGGCCTTAAAAACCAAAGTGCAGTCACTGAGAGGATTTTTATATTCAATAATTTCTGTATTTTTTGTTGTATCATGAAAACTTCTGTTTCTTTGTACAATTAAAGACAAAGCAATAAACAGACTGTTTGAATCTTGTTGTTGTCTGAGCTCAGTAGTTGCTATACATTCACTGAACAAATTATCAAGTAGATTATTCTCTCCTTTTCTCATCTGTTTCATATCCTGCTATCGATTGTTTTATCGTTCTCACAGTTTATCCATCTACCTATCCGCCCCTTAACAAAGTTACTTTGATATTAAGAATCTCTTTTCCAAGGCAGACATGGCAAAGACAGTCAGCAGTCAAAACACAAAGTTACAGATAGAGACACAAGGGGAGACAAGTACAACTTAAAAAACATCAAATGTTGCATTAAAAGAGAACCTTCTATGATTCAAATACGGGAGTCAGTAGTTCAAGCAGTCGAGCTAAAAGCATCGACGTCCTGTAGAATCTGATTGCCTTTGGTTTTGGTTTTAACTGTGAAACTCGTATTACATTTTTCAGTCGACTGTTATCAAAAAAGAAAATTTAACCAATTTCATTTTCATTTCTAAAGCATTATTGGCACGAAAGTTTCAGGAAAATGTTTCCAAATACAAGTGCAAAGTGAAGAATTACCTCATGTTTGCCCTGTTGTCATGGAGACGCATAACAACTGTACAAAGTTCATCCTCTGATGGTGACTCCCTGCAGGACTGTTTTTCAGTAAGGTAACTGTTTGACTTCCTCGGGAATGTTGAATAAATTCAGACCTGACATGAAGCTGAACTTGCCTGAAGGTAAAGCACTCTGATATTACTGAGTCTGACTCACTCAACAGCTCTTACAGTGCGGACTTTCTCTACGGAGGGTCTGACTCAAACTGGCAGATTTCACTTTGTTTATTTTCTCCAAACTTCCAGTTGTAGGCTCAGTGTGCAGAGATCATTTTGTGTTGTTTCTACTGAGTGATGAGACACACACCCTGGGTGAAGTCAGGATTGCTTATTAAGACTATTATTAATACAGTTTAATTGGCATCGAAAAAACACTTGAGATTGTCTGAACACATCATTAAACAACCTCATGGAAAAAGTATTTGTTTAATTCTGCATCATTACAGAGTCTCTGTGGTGATTCTTGAGTCTGTTGGGGCCTCGGGCAAACAACAGTTTGTTTTGGTTTCATGCTGGTGATCTACTGGATCAAAAAATCCCCCACAAATCACAAGACAGAAAGCGGGATATATTGGGATGAATTTAATTGGATCGTTATCTTTGACTTGGGTTTTTGATTGGTCAAAAATTTGTAATTGCCACTTAGTGCAGGATGAGTCACCAGACATTTGAAATGTTTTACAGGACGAGAAAATACATTAATGATGCAAAAATACTCAGATAATTCTTATATTCAGATAAATGAATATTCAACACATAGACACTTTTTCATTTCATGGGGACTTTAAGAAACTATAAAGTTATGACATCATGATCAAAACATGTGGTGATTGGTTTGGTTTCATAAAATCAGAGGGAAAAAGATAAAATATAATAAAAATGTAGACGGAGGAGTCTCAGGAGCTCTTTTCCTTTTTCTGTTGGCCCCGGTCTCCTCTACTTCCTCTTGGGCGTGTCTCACACTGGCAGCTCTCACTTCTTTCTTTCTGTCGAACTTTTTAAAGATCGTCAAAACTTCTGCTGCTTCTGCCTCTGCAGTGATGAGTTTTTACAGCGATGTTTCCACTGAAGACATGAGCGACGAGTTAGAGACTCTGGGGTAAGTCCGTATTGATTATTAGGATTCTTATCAATAGATTCATGTGTCCTCTGCTTTGCACCTGCTGTAAAAAAAACAACATGATGAAAAGATATTATTGTAGCTACCGGAATCTGTTGCTTTAAATCGCAATTCAAACATTACTTTCGCCTGTCGCTCATCCCAAACATACAAAGTCATTTGATGAGAGTAATAACAAAGCTGTAGACTGTCTGAGTAGTATTTAATTCCCTAACAAGATATTTTTATTTAATTCCCTGTTATTACAAATGCATGTAGCCTACTTCTTTCATCTTGCACTTTTCATGACTGTTGTCATGAACTGTTGTTTAAACAGTTATCATACTATGTTATATCACTGACCCACTTCACAGCCAGTTTTAATAAACTACCAAGTTCCTTATCTTCTAAAGTGGAGGGGTGAAGTGACTCACTGCTAAAGGGTAAAATGCAAGATTCATCATAACCTATTTTTTAATACTTCACTCAAAAACCCCAATCTAATGTCAAATAGTTTTTGCAAAAGCTCAACTTTGAATTCCACCTTCATGAAATGAGTAATTAAAAGTCTGATTTTCCGCCCCTAAAAGTATTTCAATGTTCTTTATGCAGTTCAGAGCAATCTAAATGCAAATAAGAGATTTTCACTTCCCCTTACTAGTTTCCTTTATTGCATCTGTTCTTCAGTCTGTGTTTTGTTCCCCTTTTTTTAATACTTTCCTTTTTAAAGACTGCAAAATGAATCACTGTAAAAGGCTCTTTTAGTCAATAGTAAGAGCTATTGTACCATGATGTTATGTCAATGGTGTTGTTTCTAGTTTTATTCCAACATATTTGGCGGTTCAGATAAATCCCTTAACTTTCACAGTTTTAATCCATGAAGATTTAATCTCAGCACAGCATGGAACTGACATAGAAAACCTTCAATTTGTCCAAGGTGGTACCACAATGACCTTTCCCGTCACGCTGCTGAAGCCCTCCTCTTGTCCAACGGGACTGATGGAAGTTATCTCCTCAGAAACAGTAATGAGGGTCCGAGCTGCTTTGCCCTCTCTGTGAGGTCAGTCTGCCAGTAACAATACACTTTTCATGCCTGGTATCAAACTAAAAGAAAGCTGTTTTTTATTTTTTTTTATTTGAATGACTTTTAGAGTGTAATGTTAATCTTGTTTATTGCTCCTTTATCACACAGGGCCAAAGACTCTGTGAAGCATTTTCATGTGACACGCAGAGACAGCACCTATGTGTTTGGGTTCAATGAGTTTACATCACTTCAGGCCTTCGTCAACCACTTCGCAAACCAGCCATTACTGGGCAGTGACGCAGGTACACACAACTGAGATCCATTATTGAGCTTACTGCATTTCAAAAGGCTTATACATTATAACAACATATTGCTTTTTCGGCTCTCTTTTGGTTTAATGTAAGAGTATGCGACTAATCATTTCAGTGTTTTTTGTGGTTACTATGAGAAACCATTTGGTTCAGCAGAAGTTGGGTTACAAACATGCAAAATGCTCA